CGACACGTGCACGCTCCCATGCACGCCATAAAGGGGCTTGAACAATGACACACTCAGTCCAGACAGAGAACGGGGCTGCTGTGGTTGGCCATGGAGCTCTCCAGGGGGGGTTACAGCTCACACCACTACACTCACCTGTTCTTAGCTGTGTATTTCGTTGTGGGTTTTCATTCAGTGTTAATTCAAAGCCATAGCCACTGAGTGAGAGTTGTGTCTCTGTGGTTGACCTCTTGGAAGTAAACATTAAAAGGTCAAAATGTAGAAATAAGAGTGCCACTCTTTTTAGAGCAGGCTTACCTCCCAGACTTTGGAGTCGGTAAAAATGTGATCTTGAGAGACATTTAGATAATTTTATCCCCCTCAACATGCTTCAAATACATTTGAACTCACCGTTTAATATACAGTGGCACCTCTACTTATGAACGTCTCTTCATGTGAAATTTTCAAGTGACGAAACGCCTCAACAGGAAAATATTGCCTCTTGTTACAAAAGAAATTTTAAGATACAAAAGGTTAAAATACAATATGGGCTGCTACTCGCAGCTTCGAGTTTCCTGAACGCAACATACTTATAGCTGCTCTGCCATTGGCTAATACCGAGCACCATCCTGGCATCCCATTGGCTAAGAGGGACTTCTATCATACGTGTCTATGCGTGTAGATAGATAGATGTGTGTCTATGCAGCGTCCTTGTCATTCGCCCCTCAAGCCATGAGGTGTCCTGATAGTTTTATGTAAATGTGAATCACCCAGAAAAAGTGTTCACCAGTCGGGCGAACACTTTGCTGATGTTCGCCTTGGACATTTTTGGAGGATCCTTAAAAGCCGACAAAAGCAAACGTCCTTGGATCGGTTCGTGACAAAACGCCAGGCAAAAACCACTTCTGAGAGAGAACATGAACTAAAGAGGGCAAAAAACGATGAAAAGTTAAATGACCATCATTTTTATTCTTTATTCTTTGTTTTTTACATGAAACAACTCTCATTTATTGTGCAATAATCTCATTGTAACATGTATTTGTTACATATTTTGATGCATTTTTATGCTTTAGAAAACATTTATGTCTTTTTTTGGGGGGAGGGGATGATTAGGGCATTTACATGGAAAACGCGTCTCAACTTCGAAAATTTTTTAGTTAAGAAATTTCTTCCAGAACCAATTAATTTCGTAAGTAGAGGTACCACTGTATTCCTTTATGTCAAATAAGAAATAGTTGTCACTCTCAGTTAATGTGTAATGAAAAACTGACTATTCAAAGCCCACTCGCTTCATGCTAACATATAAGGTGAAACACTATAAACGAGCCAACAGAAATTGGCACAAATGTTCCGGTAATTGTAAATCTTCTTGCTCGTGCTTCTTTAACTCATAAAGAGCAGCAACAAAACTGACAAGCATGTATTCTTTCTGTTCTCTCTGAACAACGATTTTGACAGGAGTTCATCATCTTTATTCTCTTATAGCAACTATGCTGCATCTCTTCCAAAAGGCCCCAGTGCTGACTGGCATGTTGCGGCACAATGTGGTACGACTTCAAAGGCAGGCAACTCTAAATTCATTTTTAGCAGTTGGCTCTTCTGTAAAAAGACAAAAAACAAAACCAAAAAAAACAAATCATTTAAAAAGCTGTGATATCTAGGGGCATAAATGATGAACCGCAATGAGGGGAGACTAGCTCATGTAAAGCAAATGTGTGTGATTATTTAACATAACATCTATTTTACTGATGATTTTAGCTTGTTGTGACCCATGTACAAGTATATGTGACTAAATGCCTCAGGGTAGTTTTGCTCTTCAGCCGCCGCACACCGCGAGATGCTTCAGAATCCAACTAGAACCCAATCATGGCAAAAAAAAAATGACAGCTGGCCCTTCACTCCCACACATTGGGCGATTTAGCATAAGGACTCCTTGTGACGTGAACTGTGTGAGCTTGTATTGCGTTCTGAGGGTCGTCATACAATATGTTGTGCCGTATCACTTTTTTTAATCCATAAAAAGGTAGAATGTCCGTCAAGGAAGACCCAAGTTCCAACTGAAAGAGGACATACCCTGGCATGAAAAAAATTGGAATTTATTGAATAGTAGGGTTTGCTCCCATTCATTTGAATGCAGCCGTTGTGGTACTTATGCTGCCCGTGTATATTTTTTCTCACAAGCGTCTCTACTTCATACACAGGTACGTATGGAATGATAAATATGGTTCCGTATTTTTGTAAATGACAAAATGTGTACTCTATGTGCTGTATTTCTATTGCTTGGCGGGTTTGTGGTGAGCATCTGTGTCTCGCTCGCTTATAACCCAGAAATGTATTTTTTCGCCAGAATGAGTTTTGGGTGGAGTTCCGCTACATCACTCAGTGTGCGGCGGCCTTTAGGGAAATTCCAATAAGTTTCATCAACCTCTCAGGCTACTTATTTACTTTTATTTCCAGTGACTATGTTTCACAGTCAAATTCATTGGGAAAGTTTTGCTTCTTCAACATGGCAGAGGTTGCTTCAGAGAGTTTGAATCAGGTCAGCACTTGCTATTTTTTTATTTTTGATTTAAAGGCTTAAATTCACACTATTTATTTCAATAACTCGTCTTTTTTAGTGCGTGTAAACGTACGGAATGACCCAGTGTGTCATTCACGTACAGACCTTGACTGATTTACCTTCAGCCCGACCAAACAGACTTTGATAGTAACTGCATGATGGCTGTGAGGCAATGATGAATCACAAGCAGGCAGCTGCTGTTGAGGAGTCAGGCTGGTAAAGTTGTAAATAGAAGATTATCTCTCATGATACAGGAAGTCTTTGACAGTGTGCGCATATAGGAAAAAAAATCTCTCTCAACAAAATCAATTTTGTTTGTGAAGTTTTGCCTGTGCGGAATGATTTATAGATGTTTGATATGTCAAGGAAATTCTTTTTCTGCCTTTTCTAGTTAAGCCTATAACACGGACAAGTTTCTTCCGGCTTAAATTTTTTTTCCTCTTCATTTATCAGGCCATGTCTCCGTGGTAATGCAATCCATTGGAGGTTACTGCAAGGACACTACCAACTCCTGCAACTAATTTAGATTGTGACACATCACATTTTGAGAGGGAAACATGACATGTTGACCTACTTTGATTTATTTTGAAGTCTAATGCCACAAAATAAGGCAACATGTCTGACAGTTTTTTCATGTAACTTTTTTTTTTTATTTATTAGACTTTAGCATGTTCGAGACTCTAGATTCTAGAGTCTCGAACATGCAAAAGAGGCTCAGGGCATATCGCTATAGAGATGTAATTCCAGGTTTCAGAAAGCCAGTAAGACCACCCACCCTGTCTTTAGCCTTTTGTTTGCCTGTCTGTGTGTGTTTGGATCGAGGTGTCTACACATGCATGAAGAAGTTCTCGTGTTCAGAAGAAATGGTGGGGGTGCGGAACAAAGAGAAACGGAGACATTCTCACAGGAAACTCGAGACGTGCGTCAGCGAGTAGTTGACCTTTCACCCATGCAGACACCGGGGATGCTGCTCAATTGAGGTGGCTGAACAGCTCTGGATGGGGGGCGGGGACTTGAAGGTCACCCATGGGTAAAAAATTGCCATTCTCAAGTTTCCTTACAGGAACAAAGCATGTGCTGAATTGATCAGTATCTTCATTTGTTTGAGTTTATTTGTGTTCAAAAGTGTTTGCCATATCAACCTTGGATTTCAATAATGATCAATGCGCTTAACATGTATGGCACTTTTGTACCACCAAGGTCCTCAAAGTGCTTTTACACAATCGCCTCAGTTCAGTATTTTGCCCAAGGAGACATCGATATGGTCGCGACAGCCTTCAGGTTGACAGACAACCTCACTCGCCCCTTCATGCAAGCGTTCAACAGTTAACTGCCCAATCTTGTTGCTAACCTTCGCAGAAGGACCCCCTAAATCACAAAACGTGTCAGATTATTTTAACTATCGAGTCAGCTTGCCATTCGGACATTATTTCACAATGTCTTTGCTCGTGTTGTAGTTGCCGCTGTGCTCTCTCCACTAGGTGTGTGCGTCCATTTTTACATTTCTCGATTAGTCGCCTCTGTCCAGCTGGCCTCGGTTCCTGCTGTTTCTCTGTATTTACTTTATAATCGTCTTTAGCCTATACAGTATATTCTGGGAGGCAATTATTCACATCTAACGAGGTCCAGGAAGAAACTATCCATTCACTTAAAAGTTCAACACAGTTACATAAGGCTCCTAGACTAGTGGAAATTGATCTGTAAATATGATTTTGATCAAAATAGCATTTGTAATGTATTTGTATTTAAGGGGGGGGGGGAAAGATCTTGAAAATCAATCACTGTTATTTTCATTCACTACTTCAGAAAATGAACAAACACAAAATGTTCTCAATTTGAAATGCAGGGCAGTGTTTGTGCCACACCCCCTGGATGACAGACAGTGGGAAGAATAGGCATGGCCATCATCTTAATAACTTATGACATGTTGCTCAAGAGTTCTGTCAGCTTGTTTTTTTCCCCTCCGATAACAATTGTACCTTGAGGAACATGAGACCATCTGTTCGTATCGTATCTGTGCACATCTCTCAGCTTACAGTTCACCGGTGCTCAGATGCAGTGTCAGCCCAGTGAGGGAAGCAACATGTTGAATTTTTAAAGCGCGTAACCGCAGTACTTTCGTCCAGCGAAAGACATACAGGGCAGAAATGGAGGCCACGCACTCATTTTACAGCTGGTTTCCTTGGCAACTGAGTGACCCATATTTTCATTGGGTCTTCTGTCATGTGGGAGACGGCACAGCTGTTGGGGCGGGGGGACCCTCAGTGACAACAAAGTGTAAAGTGAATGATGCACTGGGAGGATAAATAGAGGCCCTAGCACATGTCATCATACAGTAGACAGTACCACGACCACCTGACTGTTTGGTCGTTTTTTTTTCCCAGAGCGAAATCAAATTCCTTTTTTTTTTTTTTTAAATTTGCTCACAATCTATTTTGATTTTCACTTTGTTCTATTCCAGCTAGGAATGCCCCAGACTTTGTGCTCAGGCACCATGTTCACCACTCCTAGTGGCTTCAGCCCCCATCTGGCCTGCGCTGAGCCTGAGGAGGAGGAGGAGGCTGCACAGGAGGGCCAGGGGCCCGCGGCTTGTCTGGCTGATGGGCCCCCCATCAGCTCTGCCTCACTGGAAACCCTCATCCAGAATCTCGTGCCTACTGCTGACTACTACCCCGAGGTAAAGGGCACGAGCATAACACTTGGTGGAGCGCTGACCTCCAACACAAGGCTGAATAATCGTAACTGGGTTCAGCGCCAGCATTCATTCATAAGGCATTGGGGATTCATGCATCGCTTACTATGAATCTGAGCGAAATGTGAAAATAAGCCATATTTCACTATTGGAACAAAACAAAAAAATCTCTTCTTGTGAGATGCTGCTCCTTCCATGAGTGCATCGATTATTGTACAGCAGATTTGCTGCGAGTGCATCTGTGATTTTCTGCTCTGTGCATCTGCTGAAAGAACAAATGTCATTTTGATGATGAAGTTAAAAGATCAATCCTGTGAAAATACACTTAAACTTATCAAAACTTGCTTATTAAAAAGTATTTCTTAGCGCTTTTTCTGAGTCTCACAGTCACAAAAATGGGTGAATATCGAATCACGAGAAAAGGAAGGAAGACTCATCACACAGTTCTCCAAATAAGAGCCAAAACGTGTTTGATTCAAGCTGTTGATTTGTCACTCCCAGATGGAGTTTATTGCAAAAGTTCCGCACAAAACAAAATAAAATTAAACATTGTATATTTAGACACACCGGATTCTTCAACGAAGTCAAGTAATTTTCTCTTCATGCAAGTGCGCTACCCAAAGCTACAATAAAGGGCAAAAAAAACACACAAGAAAAACAGACGGGCTTACCGAATTTAGCATCCAGTAGAGACTCCAGTGATTATAAACCTTCAAAGGACTCCTAACAATACTCCCAAACATATACTCTGTGGGTACAGCAAATTTAAAAAAAACACAAAATGAGGTACTGTTTTACATTGAAGGGACGCCCTCTTCTTGCTGTTAATTACGCTGCATCTCCTCCAGTATACCTCAGTGTTGCTTTGCATGTTGTGGCATGACGTTCTACTACAATGAAGGCGTGCACCGAATGTGGACTTACTGTATGTGCGTACTGTAAAAATCCCATCAAAAAAATTATTGCTTGAGTAGCTGAGATATCCCAGTGTGTATATGATGAACTGCGGTATAGCGGGGTTTACTGCACAACACTCCAGAGACTCGAAACCATTCAGTCATTCACTTACAGATGACATGCTTTGTTGACACGATGGCAAATAATGTCTCCTTCTGTCCTATGACAGAAAGCCTATGTGTTTACGTTCCTGCTGAGCGCCCGTCTGTTCATCCCTCCTACGGAGCTGCTGGCCCGCGTGTGTGAGCTGTGCATCAAGCAGCAGCAGCTGGACCAGAGCCCACTTGATACGGTGGGCACTTCCTCACACTTGAAACCACAAAGCACTCCGTAACGCACAGACCTCAGAGCACAGCCGAGTCCCGTTCTTCTGCGAGCGTGCAACTGGATGACCAGCTTTATGATTGTTCTTATCCAACAACAGGCAAAAGTGCGCAAGTTTGGTCCTAAGATCCTGCAGCTGCTCACAGAGTGGACGGAGACATTCCCCTCTGACTTTAAGGAGGAGAAGATGGTTGGACTCCTGAAAGACATCATCCACAGGATAGCTCCCTGCGATGAGGTCATTCCATAATATTTACTCCATCTTTGTTCGGGAATGTTTCTTGGACGCTACACTCGAAGCAAGTTACATCTATGCTGTATCTCTGGCCGTAATTACATAATGCAAATATGCTATATAGCTCAAGTGAGGAATGCAGTGATGTGGAAATGGATTCCGCAAAATCACTGCCACTGTGTCAGTGTGAGGTTTAGTAGCCGTAGCACAGTGTTACGCAATCTTTGCATGGCAGGGCTGAGAGGAGACAAGGACGTTAAGAGGAGTGGTTGGATGCGCCGCCTCAAGAGAGAACGGATGGATGGCTGCTCTGAGAACATTTGGGGGGGAGGGCTACCGACCACAGAGGGGAAAAATAGAAGAGAAGGAGGATTCTTAGCAAAAGGTAAGATGGAGGAAGTAGATTTGAGGTGAGCAAGAAGGGAAGGTCCGGCAGTGATGAATGTGTTGCTATTTACGGCCCGTATGTGTAAGGGGGGGTAGGGGGGGAATTCATTCATTTGTGAGGCACACTGACCTCACACACTCTGTGTCCAGAATTGGAAGGGGATGAGCGAAGCAAAGCACTTACTCACCTCATCACTGCAATTGTATGTATGGAAAAACAGTGAATGTATCACATTTTCACAAAATATTTGTAATGTTGGCTGATGGCGTTGACGCTAAGATCCTCAACAGTCATCATTCTTTATGAAGAAATTTATGCTGTTACTGTTAGAACTGTATTTTTTGTAAAATTATGACGTTTTCCCCTTTATGATATGAAATGAAGGACATTACATTACATTGTGTTTTGTAATATTGACACTTTCTTATTTGTGAAAGTCCAACTTCATGTTTCCAAAAGCTTGCCTTTACACCCTTATATATTTGACTCTAGATATTTATATATTATTTATTTGAGTCTTTATTTAATTTCCAGGGTGGCCATAATGCTCGGTGGTGTGGATCTACAACCTACTGATAAAATATTCATTGTTTTCAACTAAGATTTCCTGACTGATCTCTCCTCTGATTCTTCTTCTATTCAGGCCTACTGGAAAACTTTAAACCAGGTGCTACAGAAGCTGAGCCAAAGGCTGGCCTTGATGAGTCAGGGGGAGGAGAGCATCATCAAGGTCTCCCTCAATGCCTCCTACATCTCCGACAAGCTCGTGGCCTTCAAGACCAAGCCCCCGCCCATCCAGAAGGACATGCTCTCCATCTGCAATGACCCTTACACACTGGCTCAGCAGCTCACCCACGTGGAACTGGTGAGGGAGGGAAGGGGAGGATGAAGGAAGGTTTTGTCAGCCAGAGATCAGGAAATGAGGTGATAACAAAGATGGATGAGGAGAAACAGTTGGTGGAGGATTGGCGAAGGGAGGCCAAGGTTGGTCAAGCGTTGAAATCACATCGGTATGCGCAAAGTGAAAATCGTATTGTTGACATTTAATTTTGGGGGTTCATCATGAAAGGAGGCACACCGGGGAACTTCAGGAGAATTCACAAGTAGTGAATCATGGGGCAATATTGACTCATTGTTTGTTCTTTTGTACTCCACACAGTGTATTAACTCAAAAGGATATCACAATGTTGAGACGTCATTAAGAACAGCAGCCGAATTGTTATTTTGCAAAAAGCGATCTCTGTTAGCGTGGGGGGTGCATTATTGTTTGGCACGTCAGTCTTACACTTCTGAGATTCCGAGTTCGAGTCTGCTGCGGCCTTACTGTGTGCAATGTGCATGTTCTTTTGCATTGGCTTTTCTCCATATACTCCAACTTCCTTCCACATTCCCAAAACATGCATGTTAGGTTCGATGAAGACTATGAATTGTCCAGAGGTTCGAATGATGGTGTGAATGGTTGTTTGTCTTCCAACCACTTCAGGGTGTACTCTGCCTCTCATTGTCAGCCAGAGATCAGGAAATGAGGTGATAACAAAGATGGATGAGGAGAAACAGTTGGTGGAGGATTGGCGAAGGGAGGCCAAGGTTGGTCAAGCGTTGAAATCACATCGGTATGCGCAAAGTGAAAATCGTATTGTTGACATTTAATTTTGGGGGTTCATCATGAAAGGAGGCACACCGGGGAACTTCAGGAGAATTCACAAGTAGTGAATCATGGGGCAATATTGACTCATTGTTTGTTCTTTTGTACTCCACACAGTGTATTAACTCAAAAGGATATCACAATGTTGAGACGTCATTAAGAACAGCAGCCGAATTGTTATTTTGCAAAAAGCGATCTCTGTTAGCGTGGGGGGTGCATTATTGTTTGGCACGTCAGTCTTACACTTCTGAGATTCCGAGTTCGAGTCTGCTGCGGCCTTACTGTGTGCAATGTGCATGTTCTTTTGCATTGGCTTTTCTCCATATACTCCAACTTCCTTCCACATTCCCAAAACATGCATGTTAGGTTCGATGAAGACTATGAATTGTCCAGAGGTTCGAATGATGGTGTGAATGGTTGTTTGTCTTCCAACCACTTCAGGGTGTACTCTGCCTCTCAGCCAAAGTCATATGGGGATAGGTTGCAACTTACCCCAACATAAGGAATGACAACAGGAAGGAAAATGGATAACCGGATGCATGGGATAATGTTTCCATTGCGCTGTTGTTTTGCGTTTGCTAATGCTGCCCAGAAGCGATGCATGGATGTATCTCTACTTCCAATGTGTGACTTCATGTTCTTCGATAGGCCGCAAATAAGATGAGATGAAATCGACAGCACCTCTGCTGGTCGCAGCTGCGTAGTGCACTCCCATTTTGCAGTGATTTAACAGGCAAATGCAGTGAGACAATCGACATGACAAAAGAACACCACCGATTGCGTGCACAGTCTCTTCCGGTCCGTGTGCGTGCGTTGCTGTGTGGGCGCATGTATGTGGTGTGGGTGCTTGTGTTTGTGTAAGCGTGTAGTCCCGTGTCTGAGTGCTGACATCACCCCACAAGTCAGTCATGCGCCCGAGGCAGCAGCAAACTACGTGGATAAACTGCAGTGAGTGTATTAGATCTGACAGCTTCACACTCGCCCACTCCTACACAACGCACACACACGCGCGCGCGCACACACACACACACACACACACACACACACACACACACACACACACACGCGCGCACACCAAACAAAGATCCACACGGTCACACTTGACATGACTGCGATTTGCATTTATTTCTTTGAGCCATAACCAACTACAAGCCGAACAAAGTCGATGTATGCGACTGGTTTCATTTTGATGCCAGCAGAAGTTGACAAAAGGTCAAATGAGTCTTTTTACTTTCTGCATGTTCGATACTGATAATATCATAATCAACGACAACATTGCACCCCGTTAAGAAAATTCCCATGAGTCACATGAACGCATCATTACTTCCTCCTGTCGATTGACTCCTATTGCTGAAATGAAATAATCGTGAATGCGTTTGTGTGCATCCGTGTGTGTTTTCCAGGAACATTTGGCTCATATTGGACCGGAGGAGTTTGTTCAAGCGTTCGTTCAGAAAGACCCCCTAGATGGAACCCGGGTAAGTTTTCATCAGTGAAGTTTAAATTATAGCCTATGATTGCACGTTTTTAAGTGTGTTTGACTTGCTAGAAGCAACTACATCATTATTAATGTTTTATTAATCTATTTATCTTGTACTGTGTGGCTATTTGGATTCACTCACAAATGCTTTCAGGGTAACAACAAGCACAGTGTCATTTCTGCTGTTGTGTTGAACAATGCTGGGGTCTTCTTTTGGATTTGCTTGCCGTCTCTCAAGTGTCGTCGGGTCTTCCTCATGCTATCGATCGTGTTGCCACTGCTCTCAGCCTACCGCTGTCTTTGTCATTTATGCTTGCAGACAGGAAGCTAATTTCCATTAGAGCAATTCCCTATGGAAGCATTTCCATTACTCACTTCTATTTGCTTGTTTGTGTGTGTGTGTGTGTGTGTGTGTGTGTGTGTGTGTGTGTGTGTGTGTGTGTGTGTGTGTGTGTGTGTGTGTGTGTGCGTGTGCGTGTGCGCATCAGCAACAACCGTGCTTTGGTGACCAGAAGAAAACCTCCAACCTGGAAGCGTATGTCAGGTGGTTCAACAGGCTCTGTTATCTGGTAGCGACTGAGATCTGCATGGTGAGTAGAGGACATTGGTGTACTTATCCATCCATTTTCTAATCCGCTTATCCTCACGAGGGTCACGGGCGTGCTGGAGCCTATCCTAGCTGCCTTCGTGCAGTAGGCGGGGTACACCCTGAACTGTTTGGGCAGCCAACCGCAGGGCGCACAGAGACAAACAACCATTCACACTCACAATCATGCCTAGGGACAATTTCGAGTGTTCCATAAGCCTGCCATGCATTTTTATGTGTTTGGTATGTGGGAAGAAACTGGAGTTTGGTGTGCTTATACGGAGCAAAAATATCAACATCCGTACATTTTAGAGTGGCCTTTTTTTTGCGGGTGGCCAAAGGCACACGTGCGGTTATCATGCTGTCTAATCAGCATTTTTAACAATGCCACACGTGTGAGTTGCACTCACACAGATTTAAACAGATTCGTGAGTAATAATTGAGAGAAATTGACTTGGTGATCAGAAAAAAGGTCTTCGATCTTTGAGTTCCGCTCATTAAAAATAGGAACAAAAACAAGTGCTGCATTTGTTCATGTTTAATGTGTAATATTACTCATTTCAAAACAACTTTATGGCACCAACTTCTTTCTCGAAAAAAAATGTACATTATGTGAACATTTTATATATTATACAACTGCTTTATTTTGAGTTTAAACTTGAAAGGTTTGTTGCCAGAACTCGCAGTAAAATTGTTACGAATCGTGAGTACCCTCTAGTGGTTACTTTTGTACACACGTTTTCTTGATGCATGAATTTCTGCAGTCGCTTGTTTTTATCTGAACGAATCTGAATGTTCTTTTTTTTTAAGACCCAAATCAGTTTGCTCTGATTTCAGCTATTTAATTGTAATTTCTGTTTGGTTCCTTGAATCCTCTGTGGCAGTAAATTTGCAACCAGGGACAAGCAAGGCGTTTGACCTTTCGTGAAAGAAACGCTTAGTTCGAGGTTCAGCAAAATAATGAACAGACTGATCGATCTTGCGCTGTACTTACTAAGGTTGTTTATTGCCTGTTTCAGCCTGCAAAAAAGAAGCAGAGGGCCCTGGTGATAGAGTTTTTTATCGATGTGGCCAGAGAGTGTTTCAACATCGGAAACTTCAACTCACTTATGGCCATTATCTGTGAGTCCACTAATTGTATGCTTGTTTATTTGTTTATTTGTTATGATCCCAACCCATTAGCTGTGCTCTGAAGCACTGCTAGTCTTGCTGGGGTCCTCTTAAAACAACAGTACATTGATTTAAAAACATTCATTTAGAAAGAAAATACAGAGAACAGTACAACGTTAATAAAAATAAGAATACAATTCAAAATATGTGCCAAGGTAGCGCATTCCATTAATAATTAAAATATGTCCCCCCCTCAGCTGGTATGAATATGAGTCCAGTGTCAAGACTGAAGAAGACCTGGGGCAAAGCCAAGACCGCTAAGTTCTTCATTTTAGAGGTAAGAAAATACCGTCGACCCATTCCCTAGGCAACAGATACAAGTCGTGTAACAGCCAAATGTATAAACAGCCCTTTCGCAGACTGCACAACGGATTAAAGTGTCCTGGACTGTTATAGTCCGAATGAGATGTAAAATACCAGCCAAATGTATTTCCTAATTTGGAGCACTTGACCCAAATTTTAACTTCAATGAACTAGCCCAGAATATTTGGTTACTTGGAACTCTTATTGTTAACCGCATCAGAACAGAATATAATATTACCCTGCATTTAGCTCAAAATATACTCCATGTTGAAAATTGGAAGTCCATCATATCCTACCGAAGCGGGGTATTAAACGGAACTAATATTTGTAGGATATATTGCATTTGCCCAGATTTATATTCTTATCCTAACATTTGAATTTGAGTAGCAAGTAAAGACCCTGCAATTGTGTTACATGAACTGGACGTTTAGCAAGGCTGAGATGGTGGTGGAATGTGATTGGATGAGCGAGTCAGGGCGAGGGACAACATCCCTCGGGAACGATCACGTCTATGATGCGCAGACCAAGCTTGGATTTGGAGGCTGAAGGCAAACGGTTCTGTGTAACGAGAATTGACAATTGAAAAAATAATGAATACTCTACTTACCAAAAAGTAAGATGTGAAATTGCACAAAATACACAACAGATTGTAAACTGGAAAAGTCAAGAATGTGTCCTCACCATAGATGATAAATCTGGGTTACATAAAGTACACCCATGGCCATGAAAGATGCTCACCAACCTGGATATTTGTTTATATGATGCTACCGCTGCTAAACCAGGTCCGAATATGAAGTTGAACAGTGTTGCGCATTTCCTTGACAGCATCAGATGGATCCTACGGGAAACTTTTACAACTACAGGACCGCGCTGAGAGGTGCCGCCCATCGCTCTCGGACGGCCAACAGCAACAGAGAAAAGGTCGGCTTCCGTGTTGTCTCGCTGCGACTTTTGTTCTTCCATTTGCTTTGTCCTCACTTTCTATTCCCTCCCCAAGATCGTGATCCCTTTCTTCAGCCTTCTCATTAAAGATATTTACTTTCTGAATGAAGGATGTGCCAATCGACTTCCCAACGGCCATGTTAACTTTGAGGTTAGATACTCTCGTTTATTTTGACCATCCCAGAAACAAACTAAACAAAAACAAAAAAGACATTGTGGTTGCATTTTGTTTCTGAAAATACTTTGGACTTATTTTAGAAATTTGTGGAGCTGGGCAGACAAGTTGGCGAATTCATTATCTGGAAGCAGATGGAGTGCCCCTTTGAGGAGGATCAGACCATTCTCCATTACCTCCACACTGCCCCCATCTTCAGTGAGGATGGTTAGTACATGCCATGTCTTGTGCACATTCTCCACGTGATTTAGGTACACCTCCAAAATTTGATGAGGGAGTGCAGTGTCAAAAAATAAATAAAATAGAATTCTACCTTTACAAAGATAATTGTCAATTTTAATGAACAATGATAAAGAGGTATTAATTTAATCGTATGTTCATGATAGTCGTGGCACTTTGCAAAACACATCAAATTAAAAAGGTGTTACCAATATTTTCATTATATAACTACGTGAACAAAGCACCATGTTAGAAAAAGTTTCTGGTTTGACGCGTGCAGTGCTCGCCTACTGAAAACTACAATCACTATAATGAACACATTAAAAAGGGTCTCCCAAATGACTTTTCTGTCAATTAAATCTGAGCATTTAAAGTTAATATCAGCTGTATATTTTTTTTTTTTTCATTTGAGCTCATGATATTGTTCAGGTGTGCCTCATGGAGGTATTCGACTTCAAACACTCTAATTTTGAATGTTATGCTTCACCGGCAGGACTCTATCTTGCATCCTATGAGAGTGAGAGTCCAGAGAACCAGGTCGAAAAGGACAGGTGGAAAGCGCTCAGGTACTTGTCACTCAAATGTAACATTTGTCGGACGCCATTGACTGTGACAACATTGAGCATCCATTCATTCATGTCAGACATGCTTTGAATACATTTTGAAAAGAAATTCTTCTGAGGATATTCGTAATTTACCATTAACGTACAGTTGCTGCTATGCGTGCATGACCGAAATTCTGCGCCAATCTCTCATTCGACATCTTTTATCTCCCTCCCAGGTCAAACGTTCTGGGAAAGACATGAGGCGCTGATGGCAGCTTGTCCTCTCGCCAGCGAGGGAGCGCATGTTCTCATTGCACTATAATGAACTGTGAAGGAACCAAGCTGGTACTTAGGTGTTTTCTATAAAGACAAGATGAATTAAGAGAAGAAAAAAAAGGATGATGAACAGGATTCATCAAGTTTCAGGTGTGATGAAGATAAAAAAAAAGATGTGAAAATAATGAAGCTACTGAACATATGATGACATAGTTCCATGATGAGGATGTTCATTTACCATTTACTCCGTGAAGGCGTGTTTACGACCTCGGAGAGTACAGTTACAGGGAAAACTACTTTATAACGTGAAATTCCTACTGATGCTGTCGTTATTTTGGTATTTGCTTCTCTCTCTTTTTCTCTCCATCTTAGATCCAGAGCCTCGATAGCTATTTTGTTTGACGTTTTCCTTACGTTGTCATGTACTGTAATGAAACTTTCCATGATGTGAAGGGCGCTGGCTTGCCCATATCGGCCGTTGAGTTTTATACTGTTGGTCTACTGTCGTGAAGGAATTACTGCGTGTGCCTGGGAGGATCGCAAAGTATTTTAGCTCTGTGTGTGTGCGTGTGTGTGTACGTTCTCCACATGAAGCATCCATGTCAACTGAGATTATCTATTACAAGAATGACTGGAAACTCTTATTTAATTTTTTTTTTTAATTATTATTTATTGTGTTTTTTATGTGGTTGGGTGGGGTAATATGTGCTGCTGGAAAAGTGTTTACTCCTTTCAGATGTTTTGTGCCATGAGTGCGGGAAAACTACAGTTACCTTAGCCAAGTGTGTACATTCGACCCCCGCCCATCTTTCTGCTCCTCAGGAAGTCTTTTCTCTTGACTGATGTTCAGTTGTCTTATTTTATTTATGGAGATTTCTGTGCTGACAGATGTATTGTTTTGTTGTACTTTGACTTTGTTTAATATGAAGTGATACGGCGTGTTATACAGTGGGTTATTTCTTCAAGGGGCATTAGGCGAGTTCACCTCGTGACTACTAGCGCAAGCTGTCAGTGATGATGCATTGTTGTATGCTAAAGAAGGACAGACAGTGTTAAGTAACGAAGGGAAATTGTGCCATATGAATTTAATGGTTCAGGTTCATTTTGCGTGAGGTGTGATTGATTGGTGGGTTTGTTTTTCGCCTTTTTCTCATGCTTTTTGGAGCTCTGTGCGAGGATGTCCTAATCGGGGAGTGAGCGGAACCAGTGTAATTAGAAGCATTTCAAAACCACCCGCTTCTTTGTTATAGCTTGATGTCAATACTTTCTCCGAAGACGCACCGTTTCCTCTCCATAAGACTCGTCCATCAACTTTCCCTGTCACCTATAGAGCATTTATGATAACCACAGATGTGGCGTCCAACCTAAGATCGGTTTTGATTACATTTATCCTGTGATTTTGATGACAATCACCTACACATCTATTGCATTCATCTTTACAGCAAGTGTGTGTTTTCAGGGTGGGATGCACCAGTGTTTTCCTTTACTTAGGTCAAACTGAAACCGTTATGATTCCAGCATCACTGCAAAATGTGTGTTCCTTAAAACCTTTAATAAAGTAAGCCATGCTCAGTTGTCTTTTTCTGCTCTTGAATTCCACCACTTTTAAACTGTCTAACATACTGGGACATACAGCATCTGGTTTGTAGGTTTTGGTGATCCCGTGCTTTTGAATATGGGCCCAACTACTCTTTTCCTATTATCATTACATGTGTCTTTTGTTGAAGTTTCAATATAACCGAATCACTTTTTAACTTACTGTAGCGTAGCCTATTTTACTGTGGGTATGTCATCACTTGTCAGTATATGAGCTGTTTATATTGCAGTCTGCTAACATTCAACAAGTTCGATACCTAAACCTCATCGTCCGTTGCGGCAAAAGAGTACTGTATAGATACTTGTGTAAACGTGGACTGGTAAAATTGTAAGTAGGCTGTTGATTTTACTCCTTGACCAAGTAAAATAGAAAAAAAAGCACAGACTCTGAAATGTATTCATATTCACCACATATCATTCTTATTGCTAAATATATTGCTTCGAGTCTGTTGCACCATCATCAGAAATACTCCATGGGACACGTTCCTCCGTGTCACTGCTTTTTACGTTTGATAATTCCTGAAGATATAAACAATCAAAATCTCAACCACAATTGATTTACCTCTTTTTATAAAAAGTAACAAGCCTATTCTGACAAAGCAAGGAGTACTGTACAACATACACAGGCTTTCAGTTGTAGGGACAAAAAGTAAAAAGTCGTCAAGAAAATAAAACACATTAAGTACAGTACTGTAATGATATGACTGACTGTGGGTCCGTCATGACTACATGAAATAAACATTATTTTAGTCCACTAACATCCCTGAAGTGATTTCATGAAACAAAATTATGCTGAGCAGACATAAATTAAATTTTAAAACACAGCTCATGCAGTCAACATAAATTAATGACTTTTGGATTGCACTCTGGATGTGTCGATCATCGGGATATTACCAAGGCGTGTTTAAGTCCACTAATAATAACAATACATTTTATTTATAGGCACTTTCAAAACACTCAAGGACACCTTACTACTAACATCCGTTAAGTAGGCAACCACAACTGATAAAGCTATGACTTCATGAAACTAAATAATACTTTATGTAAATTAATCACATGAACACGATAATTGAAGGGCAATCGGCAGTTTATTTCCTTGAGCACATTTCAGTCTTTCAGTTCCTCTGCGTGCGGGCCAAAAGTGATCTTGGCGAGCGTGGTGTAGCTTTCAAAGTTCCTGGAGCTGAGGAAGGTACCGAAAAATGCCTGGAGGACAACCACTGCCCTCATCTTCCTCAGAATCGGCCTGGAGAGGTCCATCCAGTGCCGCAGGATGTTTCCCTTCTCCGGCATCGGCGCCGTGTTGTATCTGGACGCAAGGCCCATGTTGACAGGTAGGGCCAGGATGATGGGGTACACTGCGCCGCCGATCACCCCCACCAGTGCGCCTCTCATGAGCACGCAGGTGGGACAATTGAGGTCACCAAACAGGAGAGGGCTTGACACCGTGGCGTTGTAAAGGAAATACGTCGTCATAAAGGGAAGTACGGTCATCGGAAGGCTGGAGGTGATGGGCGCCTGAGTGACGTTCAGGGCTCGGCGGTACAAGCTGTTTGCGATCAGCCCGACAAGCCCCCCGTTTCCTCCCAGATACATGGGCCCGTACAAGAAGAGCTTGCGGTCAATGTCGGGCAATTTGTCGAAGTTTCTTTGCAGCAAGTCGGCGATCACGACTCGTGAAAGCGTCTTACTAGCACCGCTGTCTTTTTCAACGTATTCCGACATGGTCCGGGTTATTTGAGCACATTCAACGATGACCGGTGCCTTGAAGGGTACGATATGGGCATCTCAACTTGACAATTGCTGATGGGTCGTGCGTTTCCTTGAACAGGGCGCTGACATGTCTTACCCACAAGGCAGTGCGTGCTGAAACATTTTACTCCCTAAACTTTGTCTCTCAAGGCTGGATTTCGTTGAGCTCTTCGAAACCTGGTTACCTTAATGTGTGTTGGTGAATAAAAATAAGCAAAGTGTCCACAGGTAGTAATCAAAATGTTATATTTGTATTTTTGTAAGGACGCTGTGGAATGTGTAATACCTGAAAGTTTAAACTCTTAGACTGAGCGTAGGGATGTAGTAAAAATTCTGTACCACGTGACAGGGAAAAAAAACCCTTCGGTAACTCGGCACGCATTCACGGCATTCGCCATCTTTGGGAGAGATTCGTCGAATCTATTTTCCAATTTATATTGATATTTCTCCTTACCAACCATAAATCAAACCGTTGTGAAACACTTGTAATTCAAGTGAGGTAAGAATGAAATTGTTAAATGGTTGAAAATGTCTCTTTGGAAGGATTAGGGCTGTATTCTATGTGTCGCGGCTAAAATTTAGCCAGTTAGCTCCGAACGTTGACGCCTCGACTTGCCAATATGGCTGCTGGGTACTTCAGCCAAGCTAATATACGAGCGTTGATAAATACTTGACGCCTTTATGGAATGGACATTTGCATGGACATTTTTTACACTGTGGATTAAAAGACATTTTCAGTAAAAATGTAATTGCAAACTGGTAAACGTATACGTAAAACTCTGCACGCTGATTGGGCCTAGTAAAAACGTCCAGACGGGCTTGAGACGCACTGAATCTTGGCTATTGTTTAAAATTTACTTTTGGGATATCATACGCTTTTATTTCTTTTGAAGTATGTGTGTGTCATGTTTTTTTTAGATGCGCCATTGCACGCGAGTGTACTCTCCGGGTGTCTGGCTTGACGAGTACATTTGGGAAGAAAGAATGGAGTATCGCAAACGCAAGGCCCGGGATTCGCACAGCAGCGAACGAGAAAACAAGTACAGAAGAACTCATCGACTCCACAAGACTAACGACGGGTACAAAAAACGAAATGTTGTTCACTTAGTTTTAGCAACGTTGTTTCGTCAATGCCCGAGGAAATGTAGCTGCTGCTCCCAATCACAACGTTCAAGTATGTATTTTTTAAAATACAACCGTATTATTTTCTGGTAGGCCGCGAAAATATCACAAATGCACCAGATTTTAGCGTGACACTGCGGATTTGCATGCCAGCCATTTTTAATTTTTTGTTAGGATTTTAATGTAAGCACCAAAGGAGCAGCACTGGGCGAAATTATGCACACCACTCTATGGTCATGTTTTTTTTTTTTTTTTAAAAGAAATCTAGTGCTGGACTCTGGACAGCACCCCTCCCCCCCATAACTATGACTCCGCTTTCTGTCCACTCTACTAACTGGTTTGTGTTCTTATTTGATGTTTTTCAGGTTCTACCTAGAGAACCGAAGTTTGAACCACAGTGTGGATTCCCGGCACAGGCAGACCTGGGAAGGCAGTTTGGATATGGCCTGTGCAGAGGACAGCCGTGACTATACCTTCAAGGACAGAGATCGCGACTGGCATCATTATAGCAAATCATCCGGGCGGAGCGGCCACAGCAGAAGAAGCAGACGAAGCAGACACAGAGACAGGAGGCACAGGCGAAGCCACTCTCGTCACAGGTCCTCCTCGGTATGAGTAACCTCTTTTCCTTTTCACTTCTGTGTGTACCACAAACCATCAAAAGAGGGTCATGATCACATGTGCTTAGCCAAGCTGCAATTTTTTGATTGTAATACAAAGTAGGAACAATACGGCTTAGAAAGGTTATTGTTGTGGAAGAGGTTCTAACAATTTAGTGCTGCTATGATATCTAATGAATGACACTTTATTGCAAGAGTTGCAAAGACATAATGTACAAGAAAGTTGAGTTTTTTTTCTGCACTACTGTGAGAACGTCTCATCTGAAAATCTTGTTGCCATGTTTTTCTTCTGTAACGCACACTATGTGGTGGCTGCCGCCCAATTTCTCGATGGGGCTGAATTTGAATTTGCTGCTCCGTCCAATCGCCTGGCGGTGTTACTGAACGGGCCGAAACTATCCACCCCTACACCTCCCCCCCCGGCCTGCTTGAATGAATGACGATGTCGCGTTGTGATGGCCTGGTGCCGGCTGGCTGACTGATGGGTTATTGATGTGGTGGCGGATTGCGGCGGTTCCGATGCAGAGGAGGAGCCATCGCCGCAGGAGCAGGAAAAGATCCCGGAGTGTTGAGGATGATGACGAGGGTCACCTCATCTATCACAATGGAGACATGCTGAAAGCGAGATGTATAGAATATACACCTTTTTTTCCCTACTGTTCATTTTTTCTTTCACACTCTTGTCTGGACTTTATCTCTAAGTATGAACTAGATAATACATGTTTGCGTTAGATGTAATTTTTAGGTCTGCTACCTCTCGTGTAACATTAAACCTAGAATTTTATGACACTTATTGTCAAGCCTCTTACACTAGTGTAGATACTTAGTGCAGTGAAGCAGCCAAAGGGCAGCATTTGCCTTACCAATGCTTTCTTTCTAACATTCCCTCTCTATTTTATGTAGATGAGATTGTGTGTACTCTTGGAGAGGGTGCCTTTGGGAAGGTTGTCGAATGCCTTGATCACCTAAAGTAAGAATGAGTATGACTGGCTCATTAGTTACTTTATTTTCCCCAGAGATTTGAGTGCTTTGCTTCTGCTTTCCAGCAATGGAGCTCGAGTTGCTCTGAAGATCATAAAAAACATTGATCGCTACCGCGACGCAGCAAAATCTGAGGTCGCTGTGCTCGAACATCTCAAGTCCCTCGACTCTCAGAGCAAATAGTAAGCAGCTACGCCCCACGCTAAATGTTGCCGACATGCGGGATGCTTGACATTGCTTTCTTTGTCAATAGCGCTTGTGTTCACATGCTGGACTGGTTCGACTACCACGGCCACATCTGCATCGCTTTTGAGCTGCTCGGCCTCAGTACCTATGATTTCCTCAAGGAGAACAACTTCATTCCTTTCCCCATTGAGCACATACGGAAAATGGCCTATCAGATCATTCACGCTGTTAGATGTGAGTCCACGGTGACGCGTCTTGATTTGAAACGATACATTTTGTGTCTTTATAGATTTGAACGATGTCTTATGTTTGCCTTTTTTTCCAGTTCTGCATAAAAATAAGTTGACTCACACGGATCTGAAACCTGAGAACATTCTCTTTATCGATTCAGAATATGATCTGGATTACAATCCAACAAAGGTAAACATGCATACACTTTGACATGTATTTAAATTTCACAGTTTATTGGAATTGCCACTGAATGCTTTCTTGACGCCTCAGTTTGTTCAGCGCAATACTTGTTTATATTATTCCTAGAAACGAGATGAACGGACACTGAAACGACCCGATATAAAAATAGTGGACTTTGGAAACGCGACGTATGAACACGAGCACCACACGTCAGTGGTGTCCACACGCCATTACCGCGCCCCTGAAGTCATTTTGGGTATGTGGTCAGTTTGAAACGGCTAAAAACATGTCATTTCGTAGCTGCTTGTTGAGTGTACATGTATGTGGTCTTTCAGACCTTGGCTGGGATCATTCCTGTGACGTCTGGAGCGTGGGCTGCATCCTCATCGAATACTACCTCGGTTCAACCCTTTTCCAGGTGTGCGCCTGTCCTGAAGGCTGTAAAAAGGAAGTGTTGCTGTCCTTCAAAACATTCATCAAATTTTTTTTTTTTTTTTTTTTTTTAACCGCCAGACATATGACAGCAAGGAACACCTTGCTATGATGGAGAGGGTCCTGGGTCCGATCCCTTCAAATCTCCTTCAGAAAACCAGGTCAGGGAGAGTTTTTGGAGGAAAGCCATTCGACACACTTGTTGAATATGTTGCCATGGGTAGCCATGGTGAATGTTTCCCCAAACTTTCATTGTTGTACAGGAAACAGAGGTATCTCCACCGCGACAAGCTGGACTGGGATGTTGACAGCTCCGGTGGTCGATATGTCAGGAAACACTGCAAACCACTCAGGGTGAGAATTAGAAGTCCATGTATGCCGCCATAAGCAGTCACTTATTATTGAACACGTCTGCTCACAATGGAACGCTATACACGAGGAAGCGTCACTTTCTCGTGTAAGGAAGGCGAGAGGAGTCAAGTGGCGCATTCAAGTGCGCTCCGTTTGGTCGAGAACCGATTTTCGGTCGTAATCCGAGGCATAAAAAACTTGAAATTTTTGGTCGAAAACCGATTTGGTTGAGAACAGAGACGTTCGAAAACCGAGGTTTGACTACTTGACATTATGCACACAATATATGCATATGTTTATTTTGAAATTGTTGCCCTTCCCCCTCCTGTAGCGTTACATGGTGTGCCAAAGCGAGGACCACCAGCAGCTATTCAACCTCCTGGAGAAATTAATGGCATACGACCCAGCTAAGCGCATCACGTTGGATAAGGCGCTCCAACACCCCTTCTTCTCCTACTACCACGAGAGTAGCAATGCAAGCACTAGCTCCAGCAAAAAGCACTGAGCATCCCAAGTGTGTCATCATGGTGACATCTTCAACATGGCGCTCGGTTCTGGCCTCTACGTCCTCACTCTCCAGGAGAGGTGAACGCACATGACTGTATCAGTCCTCTGCCTTTCTTCTCTATGCCCGTCCCTGCCCAAGACTCAAATTCATTTTTCGCCATTTGTCTATAATGAATCCCCAACTAATGTTTATTTGCCATTCATAAAGTACTGTACATGCTTTGACAAAGCTGTACAGATTGTTTTTGTTCATCATTGGTCCATGTTCTTTTTTGCATTGTACAGTTCCTAGTGGGTAGTATCATTGATTGTCAATAAACAAAAACGTTATGAGGCAGAAGATCTTTGTACTCAACATAGAATTGATTCTGGTATTTTGGTCTCTTGCAGTATCATGTTTTCTCAATAAATATGAATGTCAAACACTGCTGGTTTGGTTACTGGGTTTTTTTTGGTTTGGTTTTAAGCAACGCAGTTTCCCCTCTGAGACATAAGGTGGCAGCAAAACGCCACGGATCCCTTATGGCTGACACAACCGTATCTCATAAAGCACGTTTAAGACTAAACAACACTATGTTGACATGAGTCCAGACCTTTAAGTTGGCCAACACTGCACCGGCCGGTTAAACGTAACTGTTAAGACCGATCAGAGTCGTATGCCAGGCATTTATGCATGTTGATGGTGATTATCACCTCAACGTTTATGTTAGACCGAATACCACGGTCACTGAACGCTTGAAGTGATGTAATTTAATTAGCTGGGGTGGGTGGGCAACTTTTGTCCTCGATGGCTGCTCTCCGACATGACTTCGATGTGTCCCTCCTTCAACACACCTGATTCAAACGATGAGCTCATCATCCGCAAGCTCTGCAGAAGCCTCATAACAAGCCTGCGCATTTGAATGAGGTGTGTTGGAGGAGGGAAACATCTCAAACGTGCTGGATAGCAGTCCTCGAGGACCGTAGTTGCGCACCTCAGGCGTCGTTCTGGCCAATCCGCAGTCTACCTATCAGCTGTCAACCTGTGGTGTCCCACGTGGTGAGGGGCGGTCTTATATTGAGTTGGGCGTTCAACTTTTAATGAAGCAAACAATTCCATGTGCTTCAGTGCGAGTCGCACCTACGTCTTCGCAGGACACAGACACGCCTGCAACGAAGCAAGCTCCACGCTAAGAGGCACCTCTTTACACTTTTGGGACCCGCGAGCAGGCATCTGTTGACGGCGTGACAACCTTGTGCTCCTCCGGTTCCACTACCGCAGCTCGAAAAGCCCGTGGCCGGATGATGTGAATGTGTCACGCGTCGATTATAGTCCTCGTCGGCTTTTTAAGGAGTATCACTTCTCACGCGTCACTCCCACAAACTTTTCCAAGTTCTAAGTAGGATTTCAGCATGGATTCTTTGCGCACCTCTGCCGACGACAGCAAGTCGTCTGCGTGCCAGTGCGCACCGAAATCCGCGGTCCACCGGTGGTCTCCCGGGATCCCCGTGGCCATGTGCATGCTCATGTCCCTGAGCTCCATCACTGTGTGTCTGCTGATGAGCTTCAAGACCCTCCAGTTGGAGCAGAGACTGAAGATGGAACTGGACCGAGTTCCCACCTTCCACGCGGGGCACGGGAGTTTCCTCAACAAGGATGGGGACCTGGTTCCGGAACTGAGCGCCTCCGTGGGGAAGCTGGTGGAAGAGGTACTTGTCTGTAAAACGTTGACAGACACACTCAGATATTGATCACAAACGTTATGAACGCATTTTTTGAAATTGTCCTCAATATATCCCCTTTGGCTTCCATGAGTGCACCTGGCAAAGAAGTCTGTTTTTTAAAGTTCGAATTATGAACTTGGCATAGTCGAACCACTGATCAGAACTGGCCGTTAGCAAAAATGTGTTTTTGAGCAGCCTACCTCCCCAATTTCTGCCACTCGATCATATCAGCAGAGTTACACAGCTGATTTAGTATGATTTCTTTAGGGTGAAAAGGTAACACATTCTGCTTGAGTGGGCTGGGGTTGATTTACACATTTGAAGTGATTTGGCACTTACTGGGTTACCGACTATCATCGAGGCCTGCTAAAAGTAACAAGAATATACCAGTACACTATGCATTTGCTGTAATAGTGCCAATTGTGGTTTAAAATAAGTAACAGCAATGTGCAAAACTAATCTGTAGTGCAAAGTGCAACAAGAAATAAAATCACTTTTCTACATCCATCCATCCATCCATCCATTTTCGAGTCCGCTTATCCTCCCGAGGGTCGCGGGCGTGCTGGAGCCGATCCCCGCTGTCTCCGAGCAGTAGGTGGGGTACACCCTGGACTGGTTGCCAGCTAATTGCAGGGCACAGAGACGAACAACCATTTCCGCTCACGCTCGCACCTCGGGACAATTACAGTCTTCCATTGACCTGCCATGCTTGTTTTTGGAACGTGAGAGGAAATCGGAGTACCCGGAGATAACCCAGGCAGGCACGGGGAGAGCATGCAAACTCTCCACAGGAAGGCCGAGGCCGGAATCAAACCCTGTACCTCTGCACTGTGAGGCAGACGTGCTAACCAATAGACCCACTGTGCTGCCACTTTTCTATATATAAAAATAATTCAATGAACAGATGAGTATCAAATTAAATAGTAAAATCTCAAGCAAATAGTAAATGATGGCACTTAACAGAGATATGTGAAACCACAAAAAATGTGAAAAAAACAAAATATATAAAATCGAGTACTGAAGTCTTAACTGTTCAAATGTGTGAAAGTTTTAGTCAAGAAAAGTTCAAATAAATCAACCCAATGAAAGCAACATCCTTTTTTTTTTTTTTTTTTTTTTTAAGTGACTCTGCTCTTCAACGGTTAAGGCTGTTGACTGAATTGCAAGTGGTTTGCAGGGCCCCAAGCAGGTGCTTACTTCGCTTAAGCCTGCTACTCATGATGACATTAGGTCATGTCTTGTAATCAAGCAGTACAGTAACACATGAAATCCAATAGAGGAGCTTTACTTAAATGCCTTAACCAGGATAATGTTGTTAAAGTTTGCTGCTGTACTTTATGACGTGGTCAGTGATGTGAGTTTATATCCACTTAGTGTGAAAATATCCACTTTCAATCACTTCATCTTTGTGCATATTGCAGAAAGTCATGGTGCTGATGCCAAAAATCCGAACAACTCGAGATGTTGGGCAAGAATGCGCCTGTCCTCCAGGTATGTGCCTCACTGTCCTCACGAAAGTAACTGGACACTTGGATGGTTTTGGTATCAGTGACTGTGCCAAAGCCAACTGCGTGTTTGCCAGTGATGCTTTTGGCACTGGTCCTTGTGTTTCTTTTTCTGTGTTGGAGCCTTCAAGTATGTTCCGTAAGCTTTTATTGTGACAGCCGTAATCGAACACTCTCACTCCTGCCAGTGGGAGATGCTCACTTTGATCCATTTGCTTTCTTCCTTGTGCAAAGAACAGTGTGTGATCCTCACCATGTGACACCTTCTTATTTTGCTCTGAAATGAATGTAAAGTGTTTCACTCAACTTTGCCGGTGTTGCATGTCGAGTACAGCTACTGACTTGATGTCGACACAACACACACACACACACACACACACACACACACACACACACACACACACACACACACACACACACACACACGTGGACAAAATTGTTGGTATTCCTCAATTAAGGAAAGAAAAACCTATCACGCTCACAGAAATAACTTGAATTGGACAAAAGTAATAATGAAAATTCACCGATGTAAATTGGTTGACAGTCACTGTGCGGTTTGGTGACATTGTGCGTACCACACTGAACATAGATTAGAGGAAGCAAAAAAGAGTTGTCTCAGGAGTTTGGAAAGAAAATTCGCGACAAGCACGTTAAAGGTGAAGTCCATCAAACCATCTCCAAGCATGTTCCTGTAACCACAGTTGCTCATATTGTTCGGAAATGTAAGATCCACGGGACCGTAGCCAAACTACCTGGATGTGGCTGCAGGAGGAAAACTGATGGCAATTTGAAGAGACGTACAGTCTAATACAAATGGTAACAAAAGAGCCCAGAAAAACCTCCAAATAAATTAACATTTCGTGAAGAGAAGGATATCAATAATTCTGTTCACATGCGCAATGCTCTAAACTTTGAGAACAAGTGGTGGTGTGAACAATGAGAACCATTTTAGGAAGGTTTTTTTGGTTTGTTTTTTTGCGCTGCTACAAAACGCCCAAAAAAAATCCCAAAATGTGAATCCCTTAGGGTTGATGATGTAATACGTGGTAGTTTATTTTCAGCATTGTATTTGAAAAATGGCAGTTGAATCATTCCAAATTGTACAACCAAAGTACAGTATTTTTGTAAGCTTGAGTCGTGACGAGGACTCACCTTTCTGCTTTGTGTCTTGAGCTGAAAAGATTTAGGAAATGCTGACATGGCTGTTTATGAGGGTATTGTTTAACCTGAAGAGGCAGGATTCAAGTTTGTTGTCATATTTCTTCATTCCTGCAAAAATTAGGACCTCAACTGCGCATGTTAAAATAGTTCAGATGTATTTATTTTTTAAGATGCTTATCTGCAGATGTGGGTAATGTTCTCGACCAGTTTCCCATTTTCTCCTGTTCTGCAACACCGCGAACAGGTGAAAGTGTTCACAAGTGGAATTTCTGGCCTGATGTCAACACATTCTGTTTGTAAGTGTGAGGTGGAGAGGTTGCCAAAATGGAGCTCTGCCTCTGACTGGCTGGACCAGCCGCAGCCAAAGCTACTGATGCTTTGAACATTAACACAACTCTATACGCCTCATAAAAAGGAGATTAGGACCAACCCGTTCTTCCATTTGCAATGCCTTTGTTCAAATATTCCGACATCTTTGTGTCGAATTGTGTTTTGTTGATCTCTTCATGCAGGGGTGCCAAACTTGTTTTCATCACGGGCCACGTTGACGTTACGGTTTCCCGTAGTGGACAGGTTATAATGTACCATCGCCAGCGATGGAAGGGACTGCCAGAAATAGCGGTTTAGTGTTTCCCTTTGGGGTTTTTGTTGTTTGGGTTCATCTTCGGCGCCGTAAGGAAACAAAATGTGAAACATTTGTGCAAACAGGAGCACAATTGATGACTTTCATGAATGAAACTTGAACAGATTGATTCCGTTCTTTTTGGGAAAGACAAACATCAACACCTGTAATTCGTTTTTGTTTGATTTTTTTAAGAAATGGCGGCTGCAAAGCTGCATAGAATTTTTTTCTTTTCTTTTTTATTTATTTTTTAATGCTACACTGATATACGTCAAATTAGTTCTGGCAAACATATGTCGCTAGCCATGGTGTCTGAGTGACACTTTTGCTTTACTGGCTACTGTGTGATGAGGTAGTTCCACTTCTTGTCCCTTATGCTGCAGTTACTGTGCAGTATGCTTTCAACGACCATGGCAATCACGTCTCAGGCTACCGTGCACAAAATGGAATGGATGTGAGACAATGTGGTCGGACGCGATGCTCAAACGTGACGACTGTGATTGTTGTGAATGCCTGGCCAAATTTTGAAACTGTGCAAAAATTTGACCGCAACCTATCGGATGGGTCAATAATGTGGCCCAGTCTGTGCATGGCCAGATCCCACTCGGACACTTTTGAAAAACCGTGTGGACAGTCAGCCCTAAAAATCACATTTGAGGATGAATCTGCCTGGAATCAGATATGCCTACAGTCTGAATGCAGCTCAAGTGACATGCATATTCAAACGGATTCATGTCAGGTAAAAGACTTGGCCAGTGCATAATATCCCACTTTTTCCACTTGCCACCTTGGTTGCTTTTGCAGTATTCTTCAGTTTCATTGTCTATCTGCACTGTGAAGCGCTGTCCAATGACTTCTGAGTTCTGAATAGGAGCAGTTAATTTTGCCCGAAACACTTGAGATTTCATCCTGCTGCTTTTGTCTGCAGTCACCTCATCAATCAATACAAGAGAGCCAGTTCCATTGGCAGCCATCGCTGTGGGCCTTGAGTTGAACAGAGCTGCCATAGGCGGAATTTAAACAATGAAATGTTTGTTTCTACTCAGATGGCGTTGCTTACATGCAAGAATCCGGCATTTTGATCGTAATTTTCTTTGGGTATTTTCTGGTTGTTAGCAGTGGTATTTTGTTTGGTTCAAACTGTGCGCCAGAGTGCCTGTGGACCTGATATGTTTTCAACAATTAGATTGCTCAATAAAGCGTTGCGGGCGTTTCTCTGAAAATGGTGCTGGCTTGTTTGCTTGCTCAAGGCAGGAACTATGTGCGTGGGTACCGTTGTTTTTATTTGTGTGGCTTGCCAGTGGAAAATGTTTGAAGGGGCAGTTGCTGGACTTAACATGCGTGCGTCCCGTAAATTGAGGCAAAGTCTTTGAGAGGCCGACCTGGGCTCCTCTCTCAACATGACACTGTAAGAGGAGACCCTCCTCTCCCTTTAGCAGCAGATCATACCACTTGAAACCTGGAGATCATCTCCAAGGCATCCGCGCTTGCATGTGTGTGAGAGATACAGCACCACATGCAGCACGAGTGGCATTTCACTTCTGCCATGCCGGCTTTGCCCTCCACCGTCAGCTGCGTCGACGTGTGGCCAACAGGGGGCGGCATTTCAACCACATCGCTCTCCTCTCTCTGGTGCTGGTTACGTCATCGGCACAAGACTTTACTGACGGGCCACTCTGTCCCAAAAGCTTGGAGCACACTGGTTTGCTAAGGAAGAGGGGTGGGACATTAATCTTATGTCCTCTCTGGCTATTGTGACACTTTTACACTTCACTAGCCAGCAGCCGCCAAGGCAAACTCGGTGTAGTACTTCTTACAAGCTTCAGGTGTTTGCCATTAACACCCGCTTCGCACGCACACGCACGCACGCACACACACACACACACACACACACACACACACTTTCATTGCCTGCACATGGACCCTAACAGTGCGCCAGTCTGAGTTAATTAGAACCATGTGAGCGTTGTATTTGTCCCGGACACGCAGAGTGTATTGTCATCACTGCCATTTGCTTTTAAAAGCTCTTTAACAGGTCTGATTCAGCTGGGGCTGGCGATAGGGAGGGGCCACATTGACTGCCCACTCTTGGGCAGCCATCCAAACTTTAAATGGCAGACAGAGGGATTCTTTTGGCGGAAGGCTGTAGGTGCAATTCAGTTCAAATCTTCTAAAAAAATGTGCATGACACTCGGTTGACTTCCAAATGTCCCACAGACATTCAAGTGCAGCTCCCAATCTCAATCACAGTCCCGAGCTACCTGATGTCAACCTTGGATTTGTTGATTGTGGTGTATCTGTTGGAGTAAGGGTTGCTAAAAAGCCACGAAAAGCAAAATGCAGATGAAAATGATTTTTTCAGATGCTGACTGGACCGAGGCCTTGTAAGACATCATGCATCGCAGCACATTCCTTTTTTAAGCCTTCTTTTTTTTTCTGCATCGCTCATCCTCATCCGGCTCGCAGGTAAATTTAACTTTGGGCAAGAGTCAATCTGATTTAGTCGTTAAATTTTCTTGAAGCAACCGATTCATCCAAAACGGACTGCGCTGCTTGTCTACAAGCATCACAGGCTCTTTTGATTAAGTCTCAGCTTGTGGTCCATCATGACATCAACTATGGAAAGTTGACCTACTTCCACACATTCCGCATTATTCTGATCAATAAAATGCTCGCATCAAGAGAGCAGTTCTGTACATTAAGAGACAGATACTCCACCTGCATTCAAAAACAACAACAAACCAATCGAGTGCATTTTCATCAGACTCGATGGAGGACAGTCAAATAGTCAAATGCTCATGGCTGCGTGTACAGTTCTCACTCCTCATATAGTGAGGGGAGGGCATGCAAGTGTTTGGTGTTAGTGTGCAAGGGGGCATGAGGTCAGACCCCTGACTGTGTGGTCAGATCTATTTCCATCAGATAAGAGCTCATTAACACACTGAATGGCAACACAGACCTCCAGATAAGAGTGTTTGTGTGTATTTGGATAATGGAGAGGTCATGTTCTTGGCAGGGTTCCTTGACACTCGACATAAGAAAATAAGATAACGTTTCTTGTCCTGTTTTCTGCAAGCTTGGCCTCCCCACTCTCATTGTACGACGCTGACTTGGCCGCACACACTGATACGGTGACTGTGCAGTCCACCATCACTCTGGTCTAGCAGCTCACCTCGGAGGCAGAGGGGAGCATAGCGCTCTTC